CTTGCTGAGATCATACAAATACAATTGTGTTACTCAACATTCCCAAGGATTTTCCAGTTGTCAACCCAAAAGTACTGCATGTCACTGAATTTTTTTCAGATTTTCTGATGATTATATGAAACACCTTTTGCAGGCAACTTGGCTAGTATATACTATGAGCAAAGCAACCTTGATATGGCAATAGCCCACTACAAGCGAGCTATTGCTTGTGATACTGGATTTTTGGATGCATACAATAACCTGGTTGCTCTTTCATTTCCTTCTAAAATTTGTTTAATATCATTTTATACATTCTTTGGTGATGCATTTGTGCTGATCTGTGCTCTTATTAAAAAGATCAGCTTATTGTTTATTGATTATGATGGTCGGGCAGGGTAATGCATTGAAAGATGCTGGAAGAATTGAAGAAGCAATCCACTGCTATCGCGTAATTTCTCTTCTCTGTTGCTTGGTTTTTCTACTGATCTTTTGCCATCTTTTCTGATCCTTATTTTGTTGGTTTATGAAGCAATGCTTGTCTCTTCAACCTAGTAATCCTCAAGCACTCACCAATCTTGGAAATATTTATATGGAGTGGTATGTTTGAGGATACTTGATGATAAATGTTCATTTCACGTTTCTATCCGGGTGTTCTCTTCATATGCATCTGTTTCCATGGTCTTGTTTATTTTTGTAAAGGAACATGATGAACGCTGCTGCTCAATGCTACAAGGCAACTTTATCAGTTACGACAGGGCTTTCTGCTCCTTTCAATAATTTAGCTATAATATACAAACAACAGGTATACTGTTGACCCTCAAATTACAAAATTTGGTGCAGACTAACTTTGAAATATCTTGTAGAAAGGAAGTTCTTCTGTGATGATAATAATTCAGAAGATTTTAACTTGGAAGCTGCATACATTTTTTATGTTCATGTGAATGACAGGGTAATTATGGGAATGCGATATCTTGCTACAATGAGGTACTCAGAATTGATCCAATTGCAGCGGACAGTCTTGTTAATCGGGGTAACACTTACAAGGAAATTGGGAGAGTTAATGAGGCAATTCAAGACTATCTACATGCTATTGCTGTACGGCCAACCATGGCCGAGGGGCATGCAAATTTGGCTTCGGCTTACAAGGACAGGTACATGATCATGTGTTCTTCCGGAAGATTTTGGACTTATTATTAGTGGATTTGTATGCTGCATGTGCAATTTGAGTGTGCTTCAATTACTTCAATTGGCTACCCGCAGTGGTCGTATGGAGACAGCCATTAAAAGCTATAAGCAAGCATTGATGCTGCGTCCTGATTTTCCAGAAGCAACCTGTAACCTTCTTCACACTTTACAGGTACATCTACAATTTACTGTTATTTTCCCTTTGTTTTCTTGAAATATGACATAGACCTTTACGTGGTTTAGAAATGTTGTAGATCAGAGAAGTCTGAATAATAGTGTTCCTGTCTTTCAGAATTTTCTGAAATGTATGTTGTTATTTATTTACTCTCATGTAGTTTAGAAGGTTATTAGAAATTGTTGCTCTCATTCTTATAGAACCTTCAACCTTGATGCTATATTGCCTTCCCTGAGACGCAAATGCAAAAAACTTCCATATTCCAACTCTTGATGTTACTTTTAACTGACCTTAAATTTTGCATAAACTTGAAACCTTCGCACTCAATATGAACCATGGAATCTTCTTTGAACTCCAGATGTCCTGGCACACGTTTTCAAACCTGACAGAAAGGAATTGGGCCCCAGTTCACTAGGATCAGAAATCATACGGCACTACTCTCGAAAATGCTCTCAAAAAAATTCCTCCCATCTTTAGAGAACAAGAACCTGTATAACTTACAGAAAACCGAATTCTCCCTGAAAATTCTCTTTCTCGTAGTTACCCTAGAATTCAGCCTCTACTGGCATTCTAATTTAATGACATTAAACTTATTCTTCACACATTGGAGGGCTATGAATAATTTTTAAGACCAATTAGGACCAGAAACTAGGACTGCAAATGTGGTCCTGGTTTAAACAGGAGGTAGTTGGCCTGTCCCAGGCCCGCAGCTTGCTTTTCACTTTAAGTGTTTTTGAAACAAGTAAGAAAAAAAAATTTAAAAGGTGCAAAAAATATCTGGCCCAGCAGCCTACATGGACTTTCCAGCCCCGTTCTGCCGGAAAATGCACAGCTTGCAGGCCCATTGACCACATTGTTTGACACCTCTATCATAAACACTCGACAACCGCCAAGATTCGTGAGAATTGTGCCTTCAAGATATCAGTCACATTAATAGCCTCATATCTCAAATTACTACTGTCCCACCCAACCTTTCTTGTGAAGGAATAGCTACCCATATCTTAAACACGAAATTCTATAAACTACCTACAAACCTTTCCTAATCATCCATCTTTGTTTCCTATAAATTCACGAAATTCAAGGTTAATTTGTCTTTGATCGCGCCCTTTTTTTGGGGGCTGAACAGAAATTATTAGCAACCTATAAGATGTGGACACAACCTTTGCCATTTTTTGATAGTTGTATTCATTTGCTTTGATAGATCAACACCATTGAGAAACTTGTAAATGAGTTATATGTTTTTGGAAAAATTCAAAAACTGACAAGATTTATGCCTCCATCAAGAAATTTATATGAACCTGACAGGGTCCACTTGCAGTTGAAGTCCTTAAAATGCCACAAGTTTGAGTGTGTTGGAATTTCTTTAGGGGAAGCTTGTTTGGTGTAACATGATGGCTTTGCTTAAGCTTTTTTCTTATGTTAGAAATTTTCTCATCAGATAGTATGACATTCCATATTTTTATGTTATAGAGCTCCTGATGCAAATTTAAGACAACTGAGTTTTTGAGGAAAGTGAACTTGTATTGACGTGACAGTGTATGTTACATGCATATATTTCTGAGAGACCTGACGAATAATGGTTATTCAGTTTGACTCGTAGTGAACCTAGAAACTATCTAGATCTTGTAATTTTGTTTGTTGTCATTTATTCAGCTGCTAGTTCATTTTCATATGACTCGGGCAGTTATTATTTTGGGATGCTATATTTTGTAGGTTTTGCGGTTTATATTTGCTGGGAGTTTCTTTTAGTGACATTTTTCTGGTTTCATTTTTTTTCCAGTGTGTTTGCAACTGGGATGATCGGGAGAAGATGTTTCTTGAAGTTGAAGGGATACTCCGGAGACAGATTAAGGTTTCTTAAAACTACACATTTGATGACTATATAACCCATATATTCATCAAACTTATTTAAAGTATGGGATCTGATTTATCTTTATGAATAGAGCCTCTCATCTTTTATTTAATTTTAGATGTCAGTTATACCAAGTGTGCAGCCTTTCCATGCAATAGCTTATCCTCTTGACCCCATGCTTGCTCTTGAAATTAGGTGAGAAACACAAATTGTAAGTTATGTGAATAGTTTTTAGTCGTATTCTCGAATAACTTTTCAAGGGTCATATTTGTATGTGCAGTTGCAAATATGCTGCGCACTGTTCCGTAATAGCATCCCGTTATTCACTTCCTCCTTTTAGGCATCCCTCTCCATTACCAATAAAGGGTGAGGGCAGAAATGGCCGGTTAAGGGTTGGGTAAGTGAATGAATACTTTGTCAACCTCTTTCCTTTTCCAGCTGATAAAAGACAAAAAAGGAAAATATGTCTAACTAGTGTTATGTCTTTCTCAGATACGTGAGCAGTGACTTTGGTAACCACCCCTTATCACACCTTATGGGCTCGGTATTTGGCATGCACGACAGAGGAAATGTTGAGGTTTGAGAACTTTTGACTCTTGTACATCTGCGCATGTTACTGGTTAAAGTCTTACCTTGTTTATTTGGTGTAAATAAGTGGCTGTTTTTGTAGGTTTTCTGCTATGCTCTAAGTCCAAATGATGGTACTGAATGGAGGCTCCGAATCCAGTCAGAAGCTGAGCACTTTTTAGATGTGTCATCTATGTCTTCTGATATGATTGCAAGGTTGATTAATGAGGATCAGATACAAATTCTTATTAACCTTAATGGTTACACTAAGGTACAGTTTTTTTTATTATGTTTCTGGTGGTTTGTTGGTCTTCATTTTCTTGGCTTAGACCTGTTATTACTTTCACATAAATGTGGCAGTGATAGAAAAAGCTTCTGTGAAGAGAGAGAGAGAGCTTAATGACATTGTAATTAGTTTCGGTTTTGCTGCTGCTTATGGATTTTATTTCATTAGGATATTCTTTCAGTTATTCATCAAATGTACGGTGGTTCTAATCTCTGGTTCTATACATTGTTTTTTTCAAGGGGGCTAGAAATGAAATATTTGCAATGCAACCTGCTCCTATCCAGGTTTCATATATGGGGTTTCCTGGAACCACAGGTGCACCCTACATACATTATCTGGTCACTGATGAGGTAGTATAATATTTTCTTCCATATTATTGCTTCATGTACCTTAATTGTTAACTTTGTTCATATATACTTGTTTTTTTGCAGTTTGTTTCGCCTATGCAGTACTCACTTATATATTCTGAGAAGCTTGTTCATCTTCCGCATTGCTATTTTGTAAATGATTATAAACAGGTATATCTGAAGCACGTGAACCTGTTAAATTTCCAAGTCTTAGATTTCAATTCATGCTGGCCAGTACTTTCTGTTATATGCTGTTTAGAAAAATCGAGATGTACTAGACCCAAATTGCCAACATAAGCGATCAGATTATGGACTGCCAGAGGACAAATTTATATTTGCTTGTTTCAATCAGCTTTACAAGATGGACCCTGAGATATTTATTACCTGGTAAGTTTGGGCTTGGTTTTGATATGGATGATACGTGTACTTGAAAACTCCATGCATCAGCTAAGTGTACTTCAATTTGAGAGCAGGTGCAACATTCTTAAACGAGTGCCAAATAGTGCGCTTTGGCTTCTTAGATTTCCTGCTGCTGGGGAGATGAGGCTTCGTGCATGTATGTTGTTTAATTTGGCATGACATGTTTTATAAAGGATTCCCTTTTTTATTAATGGATTACCAATCTAGCCTTCAGAGAGAAAAAAACTTGATTATGCTTTTCTTTACTTGTACAGATGCTGCTGCACAGGGTGTGCAACCGGACCAAATAATTTTCACTGATGTAGCCATGAAACAGGAACACATTCAGCGTAGTGCATTAGCAGACCTTTTTCTTGACACGTATGTATATTTGGAACTTCGTTTCTTGTACAACCTTTAAAAAATTCATAGTTTGATCAATAATTTTGTAATTTCTTTGATTTCCTTGTCGAATAGGCCACTGTGCAATGCACATACCACTGGAACGGATATTTTATGGGCAGGTCTGCCTATGGTTACCCTTCCCCTTGAGAAAATGGCGACCAGAGTTGCTGGTTCACTGTGTCTGGCTACAGGAGTAGGGGAAGAGATGATCGCCAGTAGGTAGGTATTTTGAGTCATCAGATGATGCATCTTATCATACTCTATGCTTTGTTGTACTCAATAATGAGAAACCAACAATTTTAACTTAAGAGATGCTCAAAACTTACAATGGCATCATCCTCCTGCAAATGCTAAATATTTGATGTAATGCTGATGTTAGATGCAAAACCGACAAATACAATTAGAAGGGACAATCAACATTTATTGAGAGAGGACTGTCGTTCCACAAAAACAGTAAAACGTAGGCATTCGAAACAAAATCAACGAGTATTGTGAACTGTACCTTATTTTAATGTAACCTATCCGGATGTCAAAATTTAGACTACCTTCTGGAGAACGAAGACCACGAAACTCCGGCAACATAGCTTCAAAATCATTACTGTTTTGTAGCTTTGATATTAGCCTTTTGATTGATTTTGTATGCAGAATCAGGTATAGCCTCTAGTTGTTTTTTGTAGGACAATCTTGGACTGCATCAATCAATAATTTTCTGATGGTAATATGCTTATATGAAAGGAAAAATATAAGTAATATTTTATCAGGTTGCAACTAAGAAGCAGCATATTCTGATATACATCTGTGAAGGAAAAATAACTATGGGAACATTGTATTTTTAGTATTTTTATAATTATCTAACAGTTAATGAAATAGTCCGAAATGGAGTACTATGTTATTGTGAGGGTAAAAGATTCGATTATGAAAGGAAATATTATTTTGGAACAACCAATGACTTATATAATTGGGTGGCGAAGTAGTTCCCTTGTCACATAATATTAGAGCTGAATGTGCCTTTTCTTAATTGATAGGTAAAGCCAAGTTTTCAGTTACTGCATCAACCTCATTCTCTTATATATTTTCTTTTCTTCGTCTTTATTCATTTTTTTTCCTTTGCATAATGGCTTTACTCTCTTTTCGTTCGATACTCATATATTTATGATCCTTCGTATGGTTGGCAACTTGTTTTTTGATTTCCTATTTGCTTATCTACTTCATCTTGTATTCTGACAGTATGAAAGAGTATGAAGAGAAGGCAGTATCACTGGCATTGAATCGCAGAAAGCTCCAGGATCTTACTAACAGGCTTAAGGCCGCACGTTTAACTTGCCCTCTGTTTGATACTGCACGCTGGGTGAGCGATCCAAGTTTTTTTCAATTCATTTTTTTTCTGGAATACGGTGGTTCTATTATGGATGGACGAATTCTGTTATCGTGTTTTTCCTTCTTATTTCCAGGTGAGGAATTTGGAGCGTTCTTATTTCAAGATGTGGAATCTCCACTGCTCTGGTGAACATCCCCAGCCCTTCAAAGTGAATGAGATTGACTCAGAATTTCCGTACGACAGGTAGAACTATAGGTAAGTGAAAACGAGATTGTACATAAAAGCAAAGAGAATATAGAAGTATGATTTCAAGGTTAGATGGTTGCGCATGATTGATACAACAGAGCTTGGATATACCATTTAGATATGATAGCGTGAGCCATGAAGTATCATATGACTTGATTAGACAACATCTTATGTTCGGTTAAAGAAAAAGAGAGTTCTTATTCAATATTACATTGTTTTCTTGCATGATCTCTAGAGCATTCATGCTTGATTTTGTGATCTAGAATGGTGAGATCATGATATGCCTTTATCTTGAATAAAGATTAATTATTGGGTTTGCATCCATTTCTCATTTCTATCCGCATAGAGGGATTCGCGCTCTCCCGCATCTTGGGACATCCGAGCCTACGACCCGCGGACCATGAAGACCAAAGTGGTCTTCGGGATACACTGAAATACTTGGGAGCAAATGCCGAATAGTGAAAGAGAAGGAAAAAGACTGACCAAAATGAACAGCTACACACTTTATCTAATTCTTTAATATTGAAAAAGTGAAGTTAAATTCGTGGGTATTTTAACTTGAAATCTTTTATTAAGAAATTATCAAAATTTCAAGCAAATTTACAATAACGAATTTCCAGGTTGTCGCAGTGTGTGTACACAGTAACTTAATGACTTTTCTTTGTTAATTCTTTAACTCCTTTTGCAACGAATTTCCAGGTTGTACACAGTAACGAATTTCCAGGTCATATTTTGCAATTGAAAGATGTACCTCTTGATATGTTTGATTGATATCAATAACACATCTTCAACAGTTAAATAAAAGCCAGGAACTTCATAGCCTTTTTAGGCTCAAGGGATTCCATTGATGTAATTAAATTTCACTCTTGCTGGAATAACCGGTATGTGACCGGACAGATTTATTATTAGACACATTAAGAGTTTGAAGCTGAGGCAAACTAGTCGAGAACACAGTAGGGATCCAGCCCGTGAAATTATTATCATTCAAAAGCAAATTCCTCAGTGAAGTTAGGTTCGTAAATGCTGGTGAAACGGTACCCGGAAACTCTTGCTCTCCAAGGTCTACAGTTGCCTCGTTCCACTTTGAATTTCCAATGACAGGCAATCTTTGCTTCTGATAGTTGAGCACGGTTATCATATTCCTGAATCCTGAGCCTCCGAAAGATGCGGGTAATGATCAGACAGTTATTGAAAGATAGGTTTGAGGTTCGAAAGTTTGGAAATGCAGAGAGAAAAAATCAGGCATCACACTGGCTAGCATTACTATTGTCATTTACGGTGAAAGAAGATTTGAGAGGCCAAAAAGGAAGTATGGGCGGGTCGAATCAATTTTTTTGCTATCTAGATAGATTTCTTCGAGTGTAGACATATTAGATAAGGTAAGGTCCCAGAAAGTGAGTTCCTTTGGAGGGAGACGGATTTGATCTGGGAGAGTTAATCGAGTTCAGGAGGGAGGGTGCCTGAGAGAGACTTGGAAATAAGGTTGATGGAAATAACAGAAGATTAAGGATCGCAAATGACATTGGTCCAGGTGCATTGGTGGTGGATGACCAGCCGGACAGTGTGGGGGAGAGGGAGGAGAACAGTTTCGACGTGATGGCCGTGTCATTGGCTGAAGAGAGGCTGAATACAAGGTGGATGTGGAAGGGGATGCTGGTTTTGGCGGCCATTTTGAATTGGATTCTTGGGAGGGAAGAAATATAGAAGAATCTAATGATATCAATCTAAAAGGGGTGTTTTTGGTACTTTGTTGGACTCTGCATAGTTAAGCCGGAGGTGGATGCATGGGCGAACGTAAACATTTTGAGTTAGAGGTACAATCAAACTTTCAAAAAACTTGTGAAAAAATTAAAGCATTCGATATCTTATTACAATTGTTCCCTACATGTTCTTATATTTTGATAACGTTTAATAATTATGTCATTTTCAATATTGTCAAATACAATATTCTTAATGTATGCAATCAAACTATCATTCAACTATTGATCCAAGTCATCGTAGAAAATGATTTCTCGACTATAGCAGTAGCCACAGAAAGGATTAAGATTAGTTTCACAAGCTTGTAGGCTAATGGATACGCTTCATGTTTATTTTTTGTAATCAACTTCAGTGCAAGATTATTATGGCCCAGTAATCCTTCAAAATCTTTGTCATTGCGCATATCAAGAATATGTATCAAGTTAATCACCAAAGTTTTGAGGTATCAACTGCGTCAAAATCTACCAGATAATACTCACATAGTTGAACACTTTGTTTTTGTCAAAAGCTGCAAAGGAATTATTTGGATACAAAAGCTCAACACAAAGGAATAAGTCACCATTTACTCATAAAACGATCTTTCAGTTCTTGAAGTTGCATGCCAATGATGGCATAAAACATTTTTGAAAAACATAAGAGTCGACCCAATGACACCTAGAGGGGGGGTTGATTAGGTATAAATGCGAAATTAAAACTTTAATTAACAAGCAACAAGTTACAAGTTAATTATGTTTAGGTAATTAGTCAAGGAATTCAATTAGTCCTATCTTTGACTGCCGCAGTAATATCAAAACAGTAAGTACAGCAGTAAGCAACACTAAAAATGTTCACGGAGAAACCCAACGCGGGGAAAACTCCGGGTACTTTCCTTGTCAAAGATCCATTATAGCCAATCATTTCTATTTTAACAATTTTTAACAGACGATGATTCAGGATCCCCATTTTGCATAATATCAAGAGCCACGTGAATGCTAAAATATTGTCTATAACAACATTATTTCGCTTCCATAATTTATGAGATAACATATAATTTATTGAAATCTAATTATTTTCGGACACTTGTGATT